AAGTCTTCAAAGGTGCCCCCAGTACGAGTTTGAAAAAAAAAAAAAACAGAATAAAAAAAAAAAAGATTTAATTGTTAAAATGGTAATAAATTACAGAATTCTTAAAAATACTATTAAACACTGAATTAGAGAATTCTGAGCGTCCGTTGATGTCATGTGACTCACTGTGCTTGTGACTGGCCATCTTGAGCATCAGGTTCTCCTGCCGGAGCTTATGGTTCACCTGCTGCAGGTATTTGATGTAGTCGATGGCTTTACGCAGAACGCCAGACTTGTGCATCTGTCAATCACATCAAACAGACGTCAGACAGTCACCTGAGCTCCACACATCCCAGCATGCAGTGCGGCGCACACACCTTGGCGTCGTTGCCCATCACGAGGTCGCGCATTTCCAGGATTTTGTCGTTGATGGACGATCGGTAGCGTTTCTCGATGATGTTGTGTGTCGTCCGTCTCTCGCCCTCTTTCACGACTCCTACCGTTCCCGCGGTAACGGCCATGCCCTGCTCCACTGCCACCCTGGCTCCGCCCCCCATGTGGGCGGTGCCCGAGGAGAGCTGCTTGATTGGCAGCTTGTCTCCGCCTCCCATCACCATGGGAACGGTGGTCAGAATGTTGCTGCTCATCAGCGTCTGTGAAAGGGAGAGACGACATTCAGAACCATAAACAGAACGATATTCTGACAGGAAAGCCAATTAGATATATATGAACATATCACAGTACAATCGAAACAATCACGACACCACACACACACAAAAAAAAAAACTTTTTAAATGAAAATGCAAAAATATTCTCTGCATGAGTATGTCTGATTTTCCATTAAATGCTCATAAAATTAAAAAAAAGATATTGTCTTAAAAAGATATTTTAAGCTACTATTTTTTAAATAGTAATTTATAATTATATATAAATATATTTAGATTTATTTTCACTGATTTGTAATATATTAAATAAATATTATTTAAATAAAATTAAAAAAATATTAATTTACTATTTAACACCATATCAGCAGCAAAAGGTTAATTTCTTAACAAATTCAGAGTAGATTAAATTAAAATAATCATAATAATGAATGATTACATTTATCTGTAATAATTTACCAATATACTCTTATAAACATATTAAATTAATATTTAATAGAAAATCTACACATTTCCCAGAAATCTTTTTTAAATCATCAATCAATGAAATTTCTTATCTATTTTTTTGTTTTTGCTTATTCATTTATTTTTATTTAACGCCATATCATCAGCAAAGGCTGTTTTTATGGCAAACTCAGAGTAGATATTAAAATAATCATAATAGCCATAAAACTTTCATAAATAAAGATACTTGCATGTAATAATTTATCAATACATTGTTATGAATACATAGCAAATTTTAATAGAAAATCTAAACATTTAATGAAATTTCACAGTAAAATATTATATTTAAAGAAATGTATTTTTAACAACATATAAGCTGCAAAGGCTGTTTTGAGTAGACATTAAAATAATCTTAATAAAAATGATGTACCATTATTTGACAATATTTTTGCGTTAATGAAACTTCTGTATGATATTTCTGCCAGTGTATCGTGACTGTAGTGTGTGTGTGTGACGTACAGGGACCTGCAGCGAGGTGGTCTGGATGGGTGCCGTGAGCGTGGTGATGCCCGGCGGGTTATGGACGGTCGACAGCACCTGCGTCCCGTCCGGTTTGAGCGTGGTCAGAACCAGAGAGTCCGTCTTCAGGATCTGTGGCTGGTGCAGCAGCACCTGTCGGCCAATCAGAGCGCAGCGTCACACATGACATCATACGGCACACTAATGACAGTCTGCAGTGAGCGTGTGTGTGACGTACAGGCACCTGCTGCGATACGGTGTGGACCGGCGCGGTGGACAGCGTCTGGAAGGTCTGACCGGATGGAGTCAGCAGCCGCTGGTGCTGGATGGTCATGGGCTGGACCTGCGGAGACGTCATGATGCTCTGCATCTGCGGCTGGAGGACTGAGAAAGACACAGCTGCGTGAGAGAGAGTGTGTGTGTATAGTGTGAGTGTGTGTGAGAGTGTGTGCGTGTGTAAGCGTGTGTGAGTCTCACCCTGGAAGCCGGCGCCGGGGTTCTGCTGGCAGATCACCTGGTTGTGGATGAATCGGTGTGTCTGCGTGCCGGTCGGCGCGATCATCACCGTCTGCGGCTGCGCCGGCGTCTGCACCGCCAGCGTCTGCATGGGGAACGTCTGCGTCTGCATCTGTGGACGGCCAATCAGAGCACTGTGTGAGGAGTGACCGATTCAAATCAAAGTACGGGCGAAATCACAGAATCCAGACATAAAAATAAGATGTGGTCAGAACATGAGGAGGTGTGGTCAGAGACTGAGGGGTGTGGTCAGGCTCACCCATGTGATTGGCTGTGGTCATGTGTGATGATTTGTGGTCAAAGCATGAGGGGTGTGTCGTCATGTGTAAGGAGATGTGGTCAGAGAGTGAGAGGTGTGTAGTCATGTGTAAGGAGGTGTGGTCAGAGAGTGAGAGGTGTGCAGTGATGTGTAAGGAGATGCGGTCAGAGAGTGAGAGGTGTGCAGTGATGTGTAAGGAGATGCGGTCAGAGAGTGAGAGGTGTGCAGTGATGTGTAAGGAGATGCGGTCAGAGAGTGAGAGGTGTGCAGTGATGTGTAAGGAGATGCGGTCAGAGAGTGAGAGGTGTGCAGTGATGTGTAAGGAGATGCGGTCAGAGAGTGAGAGGTGTGCAGTGATGTGTAAGGAGATGCGGTCAGAGAGTGAGAGGTGTGCAGTGATGTGTAAGGAGATGCGGTCAGAGAGTGAGAGGTGTGCAGTGATGTGTAAGGAGATGCGGTCAGAGAGTGAGAGGTGTGCAGTGATGTGTAAGGAGATGCGGTCAGAGAGTGAGAGGTGTGCAGTGATGTGTAAGGAGATGCGGTCAGAGAGTGAGAGGTGTGCAGTGATGTGTAAGGAGATGCGGTCAGAGAGTGAGAGGTGTGCAGTGATGTGTAAGGAGATGCGGTCAGAGAGTGAGAGGTGTGCAGTGATGTGTAAGGAGATGCGGTCAGAGAGTGAGAGGTGTGCAGTGATGTGTAAGGAGATGCGGTCAGAGAGTGAGAGGTGTGCAGTGATGTGTAAGGAGATGCGGTCAGAGAGTGAGAGGTGTGCAGTGATGTGTAAGGAGATGCGGTCAGAGAGTGAGAGGTGTGCAGTGATGTGTAAGGAGATGCGGTCAGAGAGTGAGAGGTGTGCAGTGATGTGTAAGGAGATGCGGTCAGAGAGTGAGAGGTGTGCAGTGATGTGTAAGGAGATGCGGTCAGAGAGTGAGAGGTGTGCAGTGATGTGTAAGGAGATGCGGTCAGAGAGTGAGAGGTGTGCAGTGATGTGTAAGGAGATGCGGTCAGAGAGTGAGAGGTGTGCAGTGATGTGTAAGGAGATGCGGTCAGAGAGTGAGAGGTGTGCAGTGATGTGTAAGGAGATGCGGTCAGAGAGTGAGAGGTGTGCAGTGATGTGTAAGGAGATGCGGTCAGAGAGTGAGAGGTGTGCAGTGATGTGTAAGGAGATGCGGTCAGAGAGTGAGAGGTGTGCAGTGATGTGTAAGGAGATGCGGTCAGAGAGTGAGAGGTGTGCAGTGATGTGTAAGGAGATGCGGTCAGAGAGTGAGAGGTGTGCAGTGATGTGTAAGGAGATGCGGTCAGAGAGTGAGAGGTGTGCAGTGATGTGTAAGGAGATGCGGTCAGAGAGTGAGAGGTGTGCAGTGATGTGTAAGGAGATGCGGTCAGAGAGTGAGAGGTGTGCAGTGATGTGTAAGGAGATGCGGTCAGAGAGTGAGAGGTGTGCAGTGATGTGTAAGGAGATGCGGTCAGAGAGTGAGAGGTGTGCAGTGATGTGTAAGGAGATGCGGTCAGAGAGTGAGAGGTGTGCAGTGATGTGTAAGGAGATGCGGTCAGAGAGTGAGAGGTGTGCAGTGATGTGTAAGGAGATGCGGTCAGAGAGTGAGAGGTGTGCAGTGATGTGTAAGGAGATGCGGTCAGAGAGTGAGAGGTGTGCAGTGATGTGTAAGGAGATGCGGTCAGAGAGTGAGAGGTGTGCAGTGATGTGTAAGGAGATGCGGTCAGAGAGTGAGAGGTGTGCAGTGATGTGTAAGGAGATGCGGTCAGAGAGTGAGAGGTGTGCAGTGATGTGTAAGGAGATGCGGTCAGAGAGTGAGAGGTGTGCAGTGATGTGTAAGGAGATGCGGTCAGAGAGTGAGAGGTGTGCAGTGATGTGTAAGGAGATGCGGTCAGAGAGTGAGAGGTGTGCAGTGATGTGTAAGGAGATGCGGTCAGAGAGTGAGAGGTGTGCAGTGATGTGTAAGGAGATGCGGTCAGAGAGTGAGAGGTGTGCAGTGATGTGTAAGGAGATGCGGTCAGAGAGTGAGAGGTGTGCAGTGATGTGTAAGGAGATGCGGTCAGAGAGTGAGAGGTGTGCAGTGATGTGTAAGGAGATGCGGTCAGAGAGTGAGAGGTGTGCAGTGATGTGTAAGGAGATGCGGTCAGAGAGTGAGAGGTGTGCAGTGATGTGTAAGGAGATGCGGTCAGAGAGTGAGAGGTGTGCAGTGATGTGTAAGGAGATGCGGTCAGAGAGTGAGAGGTGTGCAGTGATGTGTAAGGAGATGCGGTCAGAGAGTGAGAGGTGTGCAGTGATGTGTAAGGAGATGCGGTCAGAGAGTGAGAGGTGTGCAGTGATGTGTAAGGAGATGCGGTCAGAGAGTGAGAGGTGTGCAGTGATGTGTAAGGAGATGCGGTCAGAGAGTGAGAGGTGTGCAGTGATGTGTAAGGAGATGCGGTCAGAGAGTGAGAGGTGTGCAGTGATGTGTAAGGAGATGCGGTCAGAGAGTGAGAGGTGTGCAGTGATGTGTAAGGAGATGCGGTCAGAGAGTGAGAGGTGTGCAGTGATGTGTAAGGAGATGCGGTCAGAGAGTGAGAGGTGTGCAGTGATGTGTAAGGAGATGCGGTCAGAGAGTGAGAGGTGTGCAGTGATGTGTAAGGAGATGCGGTCAGAGAGTGAGAGGTGTGCAGTGATGTGTAAGGAGATGCGGTCAGAGAGTGAGAGGTGTGCAGTGATGTGTAAGGAGATGCGGTCAGAGAGTGAGAGGTGTGCAGTGATGTGTAAGGAGATGCGGTCAGAGAGTGAGAGGTGTGCAGTCATGTGTAAGGAGTTGTGGTCAGAGTGTGAGGGGTGTGTCGTCATGTGTAAGGAGATGTGGTCAGAGAGTGAGAGGTGTGTAGTCATGTGTAAGGAGGTGTGGTCAGAGTCTGAGGGGTGTGTCGTCATGTGTAAGGAGATGCGGTCAGAGAGTGAGAGGTGTGCAGTCATGTGTAAGGAGATGCGGTCAGAGAGTGAGAGGTGTGCAGTCATGTGTAAGGAGGTGTGGTCAGAGAGTGAGAGGTGTGTAGTCATGTGTAAGGAGGTGTGGTCAGAGAGTGAGAGGTGTGGAGTCATGTGTAAGGAGGTGTGGTCAGAGAGTGAGAGGTGTGTAGTCATGTGTAAGGAGGTGTGGTTAGAGAGTGAGAGGTGTGTAGTCATGTGTAAGGAGGTGTGGTCAAAGTGAGGGGTGTGGTCAGGCTCACCTGTGTGATTGGCTGTGGTCGCGGCTGCAGCAGCGGCGGTGTGCGTGTCTGCGTCTGGCTGCTGGTCTGTATGGGTGTGTGTGGGGGCGTCAGTATGGTGCTGGGGGCCATCTGTGGGAGGGGCCTCACGGGGGCCACGGCTCCACCCCCCATCTGGTCCTCAAAGAGATCCGGGAAATCCACCTGATTACTGACGAACTGCAGCATCTCTGAGTGACACACAAACACACACAGATGTGAAGATTAACATCTGAATACGACCCATATTAATAACTCCAGCGGTGTGCTGATAAGCAGATCCTGTCAGGGTCAACAAACACACTGACCTTCAAAACAGCAGCGTTCATCACGAGCGTCACAGTCGCATCACAAACGACTGATAATTACACTCACGGACATCCTGTTTATTACTAAATAAATAAAGTTGAAAGGGGGCGGGGCTTATAAAAAGATCAATTGCTGTCTGGCAGTGTGTAACACAGTCCTGACCCTGACCTTTGACCTGTGATAATGAGATGAAGGTCAGTGACTCAAGGTCAGAGCTGAGTGATAAGGACTGATAACACACCCTCGTATCAGACATCAGAGTGTCTGCTTGACCTGTTTATGGTGTTATTACAGTAATGACTGATACAGTCACACCTGTGGCAGATGAAACCAGTCTCCGCTCGCACAGGACCCAACCAACCAGTGCTTCCAGTGGAGTAATGCCACGAGAATGACCTATTTCACCACGAAACCAAGGGAAAAACACATCTAATACATGATTCTGATATGTCTGAATAATGAAGATGGGTTTCAGATCTACAGTCAGATCTTCAGCTCATGTCAGGGGCTTTTCTGGGATAATATCTGCACATTATTGCCTTATGTTTTGTGCCAAAATGAGATTTTTTCACACTACCCCCATGAGAATTCAGAGGAAATTGGTATAAAAAATAAAGTCAAAATGCAGAAAAAGCTCTTCCTTCCATTAGAATCAGGCGTCATTGTCAGTATGTCAGTCATGTATTGTGATTTTGTGATGAAACGTTCATGAAGCAGGAGAATCCCACACATGAAACGAATAATTCACACACGAGCGCATCAGCTCCAGCTCCAGTCTGTCTGTCTGTCTCTAGTCCTCAGGTGCTGACAGACAGAATGGCTGTGAGACACAGAGCAGATCAGCTCGTGCTCATCTAGTTCACAGAATAGCAGCACACTGACTCTATCACATGGAGCGCAATGTGAGATTCATCTGAAGAGAATCTGATCTGAGACCTGTGTGAGGAACAGTCTGACTGACTGACGGATGATCAGCACGTGAACCACTGACACAAGCGTTCACAACAACAACAACAACAACACTACTAAAATCACAATAACATCAATAACAGCACACATTATACTAATAACAACTATACTAACACCAATAACAGCACCAGAGCATCCAGTTTCATTGTACATGTACAATGACAATAAAGTCTTACTTGCTTATTAAGAACAATAACGTCACCAGTAACATCATGAACTGTACTAATAACAATAACAGATCCATCAACAACAATTCCACTGACAACACTAATAACAACCATGCTGTTATTATCCTACATTCCTTCATTTATTACAGTGATATTCAAACGGACACATGAATTCATCATCATCACATGTGATAGAAGGGTGTCATCATGAACTAGTCCACACTAAACCTACTCTAGTTTCTCTAACTATAATACAGTCAACCTAACTATCCGAGCTGAAGCTGATTACTGAATGAATTATGTCTTAATATACATACAAATAATGTATTATATTGACAGCTGAACACGAGAACACACACACACACACTCACTCACTCACTCTCTCACACACACACACACACACACACACTCTCTCTCTCTCTCTCTCACACACACACACACACACACACACTCTCTCTCTCTCTCTCTCACACACACACACACACACACACACTCTCTCTCTCTCTCTCTCACACACACACACACACACACACACTCTCTCTCTCTCTCTCTCACACACACACACACACACACACACTCTCTCTCTCTCTCTCTCACACACACACACACACACACACACTCTCTCTCTCTCTCTCTCACACACACACACACACACACACACACACACACACACACACGGATCTGCAGTATTATCAGCACACAGACAGTATATCGGTATTGTTTATGATCTTCATCATCTTCCTCTCTCACCGTCGATGTCTCCCATCGTGAACTCATCGCCCAGTTCCGTCAGGCTCTGGTCCACGCTGTCCATGAACTCGGCGGCGTCCATCCTCGCGTTACTCGCCTCTCAGAATCACGGGCTCTCCGTGCGGCGGCTGTTCGCTCGGTTCCGGTCTCGCTCGAGCGCTTACCGACCGAACGCGTCCATCTTGCGCTCCGGCATTGACGTCATTCGCAAACAGCGCTCGGCTGGGACGCGCTCCTCTGATTGGCTCGCGCTCGGCGACGGCCGTCGTAAGATCGGACGCTGTCGACCAATCAGATCGGCCGCTCGAGCGTGGCCTGATCGTGCGTCGATGAGCAGAGGCGCATTGCTCATTTGCATTTGGCCCGCCCCTTAGATTAAACCCCGCCCAGGCCGCTCTGAGTGAATGGACCGCTAATGAATATTTAATGAGCAGGCAGCGGGTTGGTGAGCGGTTCGTTGAATATGTAAATTTGACCGGAGAGTGTCTTTGTTATTGAAGTTACATCATCATCATCATCATCTTCATCTTCACACACTGCGGCCAAACGTGTCGCTTTATTCGCCTCCTTTTACCTCAGATTTACTATATATACTCCTGCCAAAGTTGTACTGTTATCAAATTGGCATTTTGTTGATCAGCTGTCATTAGATTAGGAAAAGTTATATAGAAACAACTAGTTTCTATTTTAAATATGCTATTGCTTGCATGTATATTTTCATAATCTTATGACAACTAATCATAAAGCATAATGTAATTTTGATAACATGCAATGCAAACAATAAACGCCTTTCAGCAGGATATGGAAGTTGACATTTGGAAGATAATTTTTATTGTTATATTATTAATAGATTACCTATTTTATAATAATTTATACTATAACTCATATTCTATGTTGTTTTGGGTCTTATAACCCACAATAATATTAAATATAGTCCATTGTAGACTTATCAGTATCAGTGTATCAGTAAATATAACATTTTGTTACCTTAAAAATGTATCAACATTTTACTAAAACAAATTATGTAAAAATAAAATAAAAAAAAGATTATATTTATTGATGAATATAATTATAATAAAATATGAATTGTGTTAAATATAAAATATATAGATGTCTGAATATTCTAAAACAATATGTATTCCCTTGGTTAAGTTAAACTCAGAAGCTGATTCTGTGTCCTTTTCAGTTTGAATAACTCTGTTTGTGTTTTCTCTGTAGTTAAATAGCAAACATAAATCTGCTCATAACATCACATTAAACATAATATACTTACGGCTTTAAATAATGGAATAATATCAGATGCGTGTGACTGAAGTGCTGGTATCATAAATCAAAACAAGTCTGAGATCATTCATGTGTTTATTTGTGTTCAGCGGCTTCAGAAAACAAACACGCGGTGTTCAGTGAATCTCACACATCTGCTGGATGTTAGTTTGATCAGATCCGGTCTCACTGAACCAGTCCAGACCAGTCCAAACCAGTCCAGCCTCAATAATCACCTACATGTCAGGATCCACAGCAACACTCAGCAGTTCAAGTGCACAAACGTTTGTTCAACAGAAGGCATGTTTATCCATGAATGAGCTCCAGCAGCTGAACAGAGCGTCTGCATGCGAGCGACTGCGCAGGCTTACATCAATAAGTAAAATCTAGTAAAAAATTCTGAACACATCAAATAATCTTTATGTTCTACAAATCTGAATGAAATGACAAGCTGATGCGGCCCTGTCTAATTTAGGTGATAATCGCTGCAGGATTTGAAGTGTGTGTACGATAAACCGTAAGCGTTAGCACTGCGCTCCAGACGCTCACTTGTTCCAGTGGATCTCGTAGGAGCTGCGTTCGGTGCTTTCTGCAGACCGCACTCTCTCCTTCACCACCCTGATCACCAGTCCTCCGGCCAGCATGATTCCCGCCGCCGCTCTTCCGATCTCTCCCACGGCGCTCAGGATGCGTGCGGTTGCTCCGGCTGCACTGGAGGTCACAGGCTGCACTGCTGCGTTGCCCGCGGCGACCACCGCATTTGATGCAGCACTTACCGCTCCTCCCTCTAGCACCGCCCCCAATGCTGCTCCCGCCCCTACGGCCCCACCCACTCCTGCTGCCACACCCACCACCGCAGCGCCCATCACTCCCACCTGCTGCATTGCTACCGCAGCGCCCAGCACTCCCACCTGCTGCATTGCTTCCAGTGCGGCCTCCCGCGGCCCCGGGTCCTCAGCACCTGCTAGCGCTCCCACCGACCCTCCCAACACACCACCCGTCGCCGCTCCCAGAGCCACCGCGCTCTTTCCAGCCGCGGCCGCAACTATTGCGCCGAACGCTTTGCCTACGCCTGCGCCTCCTGCTACCGAGACTCCCGCTAACCCCACCGATCCGCCGCCCATCATGGAGGCTCCTGCCGCGACCGCCAAAGGAGCTGCGGCTCCGAACACGGCCCCTACTGCCACGCCGGCGGCTCCCGCCGCTACTAGCAGAGGCGCTCCCTCCAGGACTTTCCCGGAGAGTGCGGCTTCGGCTCGGACGCGGCTGAGAGCGGACCGCAGGGCCTGACGTCTGCTGTGAGTGCTCCACCGCTGCATGCGCCGCTGCTGCTTGCCACACACACCACCGCAGCGCCCAGCACTCCCACCTGCTGCATTGCTTCCAGTGCGGCCTCCCGCGGCCCCGGGTCCTCAGCACCTGCTAGCGCTCCCACCGACCCTCCCAACACACCACCCGTCGCCGCTCCCAGAGCCACCGCGCTCTTTCCAGCCGCGGCCGCAACTATTGCGCCGAACGCTTTGCCTACGCCTGCGCCTCCTGCTACCGAGACTCCCGCTAACCCCACCGATCCGCCGCCCATCATGGAGGCTCCTGCCGCGACCGCCAAAGGAGCTGCGGCTCCGAACACGGCCCCTACTGCCACGCCGGCGGCTCCCGCCGCTACTAGCACTCTGAGGCGCTCCAGGACTTTCCCGGAGAGTGCGGCTTCGGCTCGGACGCGGCTGAGAGCGGACCGCAGGGCCTGACGTCTGCTGTGAGTGCTCCACCGCTGCATGCGCCGCTGCTGCTCGTCTCGTATGATGCGCTCGGCGTGCAGGAACACGCTGCTGGTGTGACACGCTCCGCCCACGTCCTCCACCATCCTCCGCACCGCCGCTAGCAGCACGCTCACCTGCGCACGGTTCTGCGGCGCTCTGTTGTTGATGACGCAGTAGCGTCCGCCGCAGACGCGCAGCAGCTCCTTCAGTCGCTCCGGAGTCGAGTCGTGCTCCAGGAAGCTCTGCATCCCGCCGTGCTCCAGCTCGTCTCCGTGCGTGAACAGCACCACCGTGTGGTGGAGCGCCTCTTCGCCGAACACACGCAACGCTTGCGTGACGACCTGGTCTTCCTCCACCGTGTAGCGGCCGAGCGGGATCACCAGCAGGAAGGCATGCGGCCCCGGAGCCGTCAGCGCCACACATCTAGCGATCTCTGCGTGAACGTGAGCCTCGTCCAGACGAGTGTCGCCGAACCCCGGCATGTCCACCACGAGAATGCTCTTCATCGCCCCCCCAGCCGCACTCCTCATCCTCACGCAGCTCCGCGCGGCCGCACTCGCACACACGGGTCACCGAGCCCGCCCTCAGCGCAGACAGGAAGTGACGTCGTCCTAAGATGGTGTTTCCTGTTGCGCTCTTGCCTGAGCCTGTGCGGCCAATCAGAACGAGCCTCAGCTCCGCTCTATCGCTCTCCTCCTCCTCTCCACTCCACTGATCTAGAATCAGAAC